TGTCTGGCCAAACTAACATAGTCTGTCTGGGCAAACTAACATAGTCTGTCTGGGCAAACTAACATAGTCTGGGCAAACTAACATAGTCTGTCTGGCCAAACTAACATAGTCTGTCTGGACAAACTAACATAGTCTGTCTGGCCAAACTAACATAGTCTGTCTGGCCAAACTAACATAGTCTGGCCAAACTAACATAGTCTGTCTGGGCAAACTAACATAGTCTGGGTAAACTAACATAGTCTGTCTGGGCAAACTAACATAGTCTGTCTGGGCAAACTAACATAGTCTGTCTGGGCAAACTAACACAGTCTGTCTGGGCAAACTAACATAGTCTGTCTGGCCAAACTAACATAGTCTGTCTGGGTAAACTAACATAGTCTGTCAAGGCAAACTAACATAGTCTGTCTGGGTAAACTAACAGTCTGGGTAAACTAACATAGTCTGTCTGGGTAAACTAACATAGTCTGTCTGGGTAAACTAACATAGTCTGTCTGGCCAAACTAAAATAGTCTGTCTGGGCAAACTAACATAGTCTGGGTAAACTAACATAGTCTGTCTGGGTAAACTAACATAGTCTGTCTGGGTAAACTAACATAGTCTGTCTGGCAAAACTAAAATAGTCTGTCTGGGCAAACTAACATAGTCTGTCTGGGTAAACTAACATAGTCTGGGTAAACTAACATAATCTATCTGGGTAAACTAACATAGTCTGTCTGGGCAAACTAATATAGTCTGTCTGGGCAAACTAACATAGTCTGTCTGGCCAAACTAACATAGTCTGTCTGGGTAAACTAACATAGTCTGTCTGGCCAAACTAACATAGTCTGTCTGGGCAAACTAACATAGTCTGGGCAAACTAACATAGTCTGTCTGGGTAAACTAACATAGTCTGTCTGGCCAAACTAACATAGTCTGTCTGGGCAAACTAACATAGTCTGGGCAAACTAACATAGTCTGTCTGGGTAAACTAACATAGTCGGTATGGGTAAACTAACATAGTCTGGGCAAACTAACATAGTCTGTCTGGCCAAACTAACATAGTCTGTCTGGCCAAACTAACATAGTCTGGGCAAACTAACATAGTCTGTCTGTGCAAACTAACATAGTCTGTCTGGGTAAACTAACATAGTCTGGGTAAACTAACATAGTCTGTCTGGGTAAACTAACATAGTCTGTCTGGCAAAACTAAAATAGTCTGTCTGGGCAAACTAACATAGTCTGTCTGGCCAAACTAACACAGTCTGTCTGGGCAAACTAACATAGTCTGTCTGGCCAAACTAACATAGTCTGTCTGGCCAAACTAACATAGTCTGTCTGGCCAAACTAACATAGTCTGTCTGGCCAAACTAACATAGTCTGTCTGGCCAAACTAACATAGTCTGGCCAAACTAACATAGTCTGTCTGGCCAAACTAACATAGTCTGTCTGGGCAAACTAACATAGTCTGTCTGGGCAAACTAACATAGTCTGTGTAAACTAACATAGTCTGTCTGGGCAAACTAACATAGTCTGTCTGGGCAAACTAACATAGTCTGTCTGGCCAAACTAACATAGTCTGTCTGGGTAAACTAACATAGTCTGTCAAGGCAAACTAACATAGTCTGTCTGGGTAAACTAACAGTCTGGGTAAACTAACATAGTCTGTCTGGCCAAACTAAAATAGTCTGTCTGGGCAAACTAACATAGTCTGGGTAAACTAACATAGTCTGTCTGGGTAAACTAACATAGTCTGTCTGGGTAAACTAACATAGTCTGTCTGGCAAAACTAAAATAGTCTGTCTGGCAAAACTAAAATAGTCTGTCTGGGCAAACTAACATAGTCTGTCTGGGTAAACTAACATAGTCTGTCTGGCAAAACTAAAATAGTCTGTCTGGGCAAACTAACATAGTCTGTCTGGGTAAACTAACATAGTCTGGGTAAACTAACATAGTCTGTCTGGGTAAACTAACATAGTCTGTCTGGGCAAACTAATATAGTCTGTCTGGGCAAACTAACATAGTCTGTCTGGGTAAACTAACATAGTCTGTCTGGGTAAACTAACATAGTCTGTCTGGCCAAACTAACATAGTCTGTCTGGGCAAACTAACATAGTCTGGGTAAACTAACATAGTCTGTCTGGGTAAACTAACATAGTCTGTCTGGGTAAACTAACATAGTCTGTCTGGCAAAACTAAAATAGTCTGTCTGGGCAAACTAACATAGTCTGTCTGGGTAAACTAACATAGTCTGGGTAAACTTACATAGTCTGTCTGGGTAAACTAACATAGTCTGTCTGGGCAAACTAATATAGTCTGTCTGGGCAAACTAACATAGTCTGTCTGGCCAAACTAACATAGTCTGTCTGGGTAAACTAACATAGTCTGTCTGGCCAAACTAACATAGTCTGTCTGGGCAAACTAACATAGTCTGGGCAAACTAACATAGTCTGTCTGGGTAAACTAACATAGTCTGTCTGGCCAAACTAACATAGTCTGTCTGGGCAAACTAACATAGTCTGGGCAAACTAACATAGTCTGTCTGGGTAAACTAACATAGTCGGTCTGGGTAAACTAACATAGTCTGGGCAAACTAACATAGTCTGTCTGGCCAAACTAACATAGTCTGTCTGGCCAAACTAACATAGTCTGGGCAAACTAACATAGTCTGTCTGGGCAAACTAACATAGTCTGTCTGGGTAAACTAACATAGTCTGGTCAGGCGAACATGAAGACAAACAAACAAGTCTGAATGGACAGACGAACAAGTCTGTCTGAGCAGACGATGTTTGTCTGTCTGTATGAAACTTTTGACCCCATTATATCGAGTCTGTCTGGATGAAGACAAACGCCCAAACTATTGACTCCATCATACCGAATCGATGAAAGTATCGACCCCATCATATCGAGTCTTGATGAAACTATTAACCCCACCCATCATATCGAGTCTAGATGAAACTATCGACCCCATCATATCGAATCTTGATGAAAGTATCGACCCCATCATATCGAGTCTTGATGAAACTATTGACCCCACCCATCATATCGAGTCTAGATGAAACTATTGACCCCACCCATCATATCGAGTCTGTCGCCCCCCCCCCGTAGAGCGTATCTGTACCGAGAGCATCGGTCACATAACATGAAAGGTGCCACTTTACCAGGCCGGGATATTTGGTTAAGAGATTGGTAGCATCGCGAGGGTGGTCTATATACCGGTGGGGTGGGCGTCTATTGGGGCGGGGCGGTGGAGTGGGGCGTCTATTCCCGGTGGAGTGGGGTTTGTCTATTCCCGTTAGAGTGTGGCGTCTATTCTTCTTTGGGGTGGGGCGTCTATTCTTCTTTGGGGTGGGGCGTCTATTCCCGTTAGAGTGTGGCGTCTATTTTTCTTGGGGTGGGGCGTCTATTCCCGTTAGAGTGTGGCGTCTATTCTTCTTGGGGTGGGGCGTCTATTCCCGTTAGAGTGTGGCGTCTATTCTTCTTGGGGTGGGGCGTCTATTCCCGTTAGAGTGTGGCGTCTATTTTTCTTGGGGTGGGGCGTCTGTTCCCGTTAGAGTGTGGCGTCTATTCTTCTTGGGGTGGGGCGTCTATTCCCGTTAGAGTGTGGCGTCTATTCTTCTTGGGGTGGGGCGTCTATTCCCGTTAGAGTGTGGCGTCTATTTTTCTTGGGGTGGGGCGTCTGTTCCCGTTAGAGTGTGGCGTCTATTCTTCTTGGGGTGGGGAGTCTATTCTTCTTGGGGTGGGGAGTCTATTTCCGTTTGGGTGGGGTGTCTATTCCCGGTGGGGTGGGGTGTCTATTACCGGTGGGGTGGGGAGTCTATTTCTGATTAAAGAGGCTTAGTGTGGTGTCTTTAAATGTGACACACGGACAAACCATTTTGGTGCATCTTAAATCTGCGTGTGTATGTTTGCGTTACTCGCATACCTTAAACAAAATGTTTCTTGTATGTTTTTTTTATTATCTTCGTTTAAAAAAATAATAAAAAAACTAATGCACTTTAAAAAATGACTGCACTCTTATGGATTAGTTCATCTTTAAACTAGAGTTCCTGTATAAAGTGATATTGCTCTTTAAGGAACGCTGATCTTTAAACAGACGCTTCTCTTAAAAGGGACACAACTGAGTAAAGGGGCGCCACTCCTTTTAAGTAAGTTAAAATAATCTTTTAAAGGGACATGGACTATCTAATTTTCAAAACTTTTGTTTAAAAATGTAATATTTATTACTTTCAGTGTTTGTGTGAACATGTTTATCTGGAATGGCCCACGTCTTCTGCCTGTAAAGGTTAGGGGTACTCACGTCTATACATGAAATCACATACGGAGGGGGGGTGGGTACTATCGTCTGAGCTTAGATAAGAAGCTTAGGCTTTAAAGGTTTCGGAATTTTCAACAAACGTTATATTAAAATAGGCAATTTCAATAGCTGAATGTGGGTAGTTGTTAGTAATTTAAATAGGCAATTTCAGTAGCTCAATAAAGATATTTTTTTGGTAATTTAAAATAGGCAATTTTAGTAGCTCAAAATGGATATATTTTTTTTTTCTAATTTAAAATAGTCGATTTCAGAAAGTCTGTGTAGAAAAATATTTAATTTTTAATAAAAAAATAGTCAATTTTAGTAGCCCAATGTAGGAACATTATTTTTGTTTTGAAAAACATGCAATTTCGGTAGGCAATTTTTTTTTGGGTATTTTACAAGTTTGGTAGCTCAAATTGTTTTATTAATTTTGGTATCGAAATTTAATTGGTAAATTTCTATAGTTCGAAATAGGTTATGTTATTTTTTTTGGTATGTTAAATTACAAATTTAGCTTAACATGATCTATTAATTTTTGGTATTAAATCTTGCATTTCGGTAACTCAGTGTGGGACATTTTGTGATATTCCAAAACAACCAATTTTATAGGGAAAAAAACTACTTTTAAATATTCATATCTAAACTACCTTTTTACACCAAATACATCTCATACGGATATGCGCATACATACTCACTCGCACGTGAATTACACAAAACTACTCACGTCTTTTGGTTTCTCGTAGGGCGATATCGATCTCCATAAATCCACCTGCTTGCGCAGATCCATCCCGGCCAGCGGTATCCTGACGAAGCCGACACACTCATCCTTGGAAAACTGGTCGTATTCGTAAAACGACAACTCCAGAGTCGTATCGTCCACCTCTTCGGCGCTCAGCTCGAAGATGAACTCTTCCTCGAATTCCGGGTTCAGCGTCTTCCGGTGGATCCGGCTTTGGGCGGAGGTGCGGTGGCCCGGGAGGAGCGTGAGCCGGCAGTAGGGGTTGGCCGTGCCGATGATGTCCCGGGGGAGGAGGTTGTGGGCGCGGACGAGGTTGACGGTGAGGATGCTAGTCTCGGGGTTGTGTTCCAGACTGACGTGGACGGTGCCCTGACTCTCCTCCTCTATGGAGGTGACGCTGGCCTGACGCACCAGCTGGGGAGGGATAGAGAAATAGGAGGTGAACGTTTGGTTGGGTGGTGGTTTTGTTGGGTGAGGAAGTTGTTTTGATGAGAAGAGATTTTGTTGGGGGGAGGTGGTTTTGATGTGAGGAGGTGGTTTTGATGTGAAGAGGTGGTTTTGATGGGAGGAGGTGCTTTGATGGAAGGAGGTGGTTTTGTTGGGTGATGAGGTGGTTTTGTTGTGTGAGGAGGTGATTTTGTTGTGTGAGGAGGTGATTTTGATTGGGGGAAGTGGTTTTGATGGGAGGAGGTGGTTTTGTTGGGTGATGAGGTGGTTTTGTTGTGTGAGGAGGTGATTTTGTTGTGTGAGGAGGTGATTTTGATTGGGGGAAGTGGTTTTGATGGGAGGAGGTGGTTTTGATCAGAGGAGGCTTTGTTGGGGAAGAGGTGGTTTTGATGGGTGAGGAGGTGGTTTTGTTGGGTGAGGAGGTGGTTTTGTTGGGTGAGGAGGTGGTTTTGATTGGAGGAAGTGGTTTTGATAGGAGGGGGTGGTTTTGATCTAAGGAGGCTTTGTTAGGGAAGGAGGCTTTGTTGGGGAAGAGGTGGTTTTGATGGGTGAGGAGGTGGTTTTGTTGGGTGAGGAGGTGGTTTTGTTGGGTGAGGAGGTGGTTTTGATTGGAGGAAGTGGTTTTGATAGGAGGGGGTGGTTTTGATCTAAGGAGGCTTTGTTGGGGAAGAGGTGGTTTTGAAGGGTGAGGAGGTGATTTTGAAAGGAGGTTTTATTAGTAGAAGGTTTCGATGGGAGGTGAAAGTTTTGTTAGAAGGGGAGTTGTTGTGTGAATGAAGAAGAGCGATATTGTCAGAAAATGAAATTAGATTTATTCAAGTGCAGAGAAATTTGTGTAAGGTGGAAAGGATATTTTGTAGATGAAAGAAACAATCGATAATGAACATTTGTCAACAATCCCATATTTTCATTGCTGGATAAACTTAGTCATCGAGTCTTAATAATCCAATAATTTTATAGCTATCTTAAAATAACAACAACACACTTTGCTTCATTTAGACGATGCTAGATACTCGACCCTATTGAAAACGTAAACAAACCTTGGTCTCTCAAATAAAATATATAGGCTACATGTGCTTTTACCAATCCTCAAAACTAATTCTTGATGCCCAGCTTAAAGAGATCGGGGTTCATACCTAGGTGACATCGCGTGATTGTAGCCAATATCTGATCCCCTCCCCCCTATCGTAAGCCTAATACATCATCACACGTCGGTACAAAAAGGTCAGAAGATTACGTCACTACGTTAGTTTATCACGTGATGGGGGCACGTGGTGTACACAAACCACGTGACGTACACACAGACTGGCATAGACCACGTGACATACACACAGAACACGTGACCTACACACAGACCACGTGACCTACACACAGACCACGTGACGTACACAGAGTTTCTTCCAGGCATCTCTGCCCCCCCCCCCCCCTCACCGAAGAAAGTCTACCTCTCCCTCGAACGAAATGGAATTTATATAGAAAATATATACTTTTAACAGTTTCCGCCACCCCGGAAATTTTAGTCTGCCCACCCAAAATTTCAAGTGCCTTTCCCCCCCCCCCCCACCCCCCCGGAGAAAAGTAGTGAAGAAACACTGGACGTTCACACAGACCACGTGATACAACCCACATCATCATCCACCACCCCCCACCACATAAATCAACAACACCATCGTTAATGTCTGTATGCAAGTCTGCTCGTTCCACTCACTCCATAGCTTCGAATAAATAACTCGCAAAACGTAACCATCAAGAATTAAGTTAAATCTAAACTCTCTAACAAAAAATCCTTTTCGTAATCCCAGGCTTTGATCCCCTAATCCCTGGCCCGCTACCATAAACTTTAGAAAAACGCTGGGATACAAAGGGGAGATTACTTGCACTGACTGTTACTATGAATTATTTATCAATCTGTTTTCCGCGCTGTCGGTTTTCGCGATTGGCCGGTGAGATATGTCAGGGGGGACAACTCTAATGGACGTTGCTAGTTTGTTTTTCTTCTCTACCCTTATCTTCATCATGGGTTGTCGATAATAGACGGACTCCGTCTTGCTAAAAATTAAAAAAAAGGGGTAATCCCACTCACCATACTCAGTACATCAGCTATTGGTTGCCTACACTCAAGGCGGTCGTTGCAAGAATTATGTGATCCCCGCGCTCAATGTTAGAGATAAACAACCTAAACACAATGAGCATGTTTTTTAACTGGTATCGATACCCCAACCCAGGACTTAACGATACACCCCGGCCCTTACAACGATACTGTTATAAAAATGCGGTGTCGATACTGGATTGCTAGAATCGATCACAATTCAGACGGTTACAATAGGATGCTGTGGTTATACATTAGTGTGCATGGTTGTTATGTTATTGGTATGGAGTTCAAATCCTCTTCCACGCAAGATTTAAGGCTGAAGATCTAACCGTAGGCCACCGAGTCCGTCTGACTATTATTTCTTTGATACTGGGCTCCAAAATGTACTCATTACCTTTAGGTCAATGAACGCCTTATAAAAATACGGTACAACTTTTCGGAATTAAACCGACAAACTGGAGAAAAGAAATGTTTAAATAACAGTTTGATTTAGGATGCAAATGAGATTTTAATTTTTTTAATGAAAATATTTTTACAAATTGATTTGTCGAATCTAATTCGGTTTTTCCTTTTGAAAGCTGTTCTCGTTATTGAAGAGCAAGAATGGTATAGAACCATCTTATAACTGCAGTGTAGTATTACTTGAAGTAAGGAATAAAAACTTAATTGTTGAAACTGTTGGTCGCACTGGAATAGGGCTTGTAAGTAGGTTACCAACTTGCCAGCTAGCGTTTTTAAAAACCAAATGGAGTATTTGTATTAAATTGGCAAAATAATAACGGAAAGTCACTTCAGCTATTGTTAATTTACTTAAAATCGTAAACAAGAATATTGATACAAGATGTAGACTAGTTTTAAAAAAAAATCAACCTACGTTAAATTGTTAACTTTTTAAAAGAAGCGTACAGTTTGTTGTTATTTATTCGAATCAGTAACATGTTGTCGTTAACGTAGTTAAAATATTCCCGTTAATACAATACAAACAATAGCCTAGGCGAACCGGTACTTAATTTCATTCTATTATATTAAAAAATCAAGCACATATATTAGTTTCCAACCATATGAAAACAATAGCGTTGACATTTTAAAAATAATGTGTTGCAGTTTTGAAACTCTTGGTGATTTTAAAATCTCTAAGCGAGGCCTAGAAACTAATAGCCGCCATGTTTTTTATTAATATAGATCATGCTCACAACAATTAATCTGGTTCGAAAATTTACATCTCTTCATTGCTAACGAGATTTGGAATTTTAAGTGAGAGAGACCGAGATTTACAAGCCCTAATGATGAATTATATCGGCGCATTTTCCTGCAAGATTTCTTATTATAAAATCTAGAGTTCTGTTATAGAGAAGTAAAGCTGATTGGGCATTGAATTGAACACATCTATTCTCACGCCGAGATAATGAAAACAGGTCAACTCTACTTCATCTTTGAGTTCTAAATGATACAACTGGATCGTTTTCTGTGTGATCGGTTTCAACACGTCAGCAGTTTTGATAACCCTCAACATCTACAGACAGCAACACAACCCAAACATTATCGTCTACATCTGGAGCCTTATTTCATCACACATTTCATCTAGCCATCGATAGTTTAATATAATAATAACTTTTTGTATAGAAAGAATATACTATACAAATAAATATAATCTTCAAGACAACCAAGTTGCAGGTACATTGCTTAGTCCGACTATAATGTAAACATAATATACCTAATTAAACGACATATAAAAATTTAATTTCATAATTAACATTATCTCATTTTGACAAAATACACGAAACAGAAAATTAATAACACACTATTTAAGATGGTAATCTAATTTATTTCCCCACATAATTGAACAAAAAAAATGTATACATTTAATAATTTTGTTAGCTTTTGTGTCTACAAGCTAAAATCACAACTAATGGAAAAACGCAATACTGAATTTTATTTACCCACTTTTGAAACATATGACACTATTTCTCACTTTATTACGTTCTTATAAAAACGAAATCTCAAACCGTTTAAATTCTAAAGAGCAAACTCGCCACACCGCAAAGACGCAGCATGCGATCGTTCAAATCGAAAAGGAAGAAATACGAAAAAAAAAATCCCAAATTAAAAAGGAACAAATCCGGGGAATGAGAAATTGTCTCGTTGCTAAAGCTGGGCCACGCGACTCGGGGTAAGCCGAATTTTGTCACTCAAGGTTACCAGATTGTACATCGATTTTCTTTTAAACAAATAAAAGAATCGAGCTAAGCTAAAAGGGCATTTGTATGACCCCCCCACCCCTTCACAATGTTCTGTTTAAACATTTTTTTTATTTATTTAACAGGGGCTTGTACACCCCCACCCCCCATTTTCTGTTTAAAAACATTTTTATAGAGCGAGGGCTTGCATGAATCCCCTAACCCCGTCTACCCCCCCCCCCCCTACACTTTCTGTTTAAACAAATTTTCATAGAGCAGGAGTTTGTTAAGGGAGGATTGGTTATTTTCGAGGCTACAGTCAGCTCGGACGTGGGGAAAATGACTTGGGAATTGACTCTGAAATTGACTTTAGAATTTAATAAAACAAATAGACACCGATTAGGCTTTGGTGGAGAACAAACAGATGTTGAACCAAACAGAAAACGAAAATAACTAGAAGAGGGGGGAGGGGGAGATAGAAATCGATCGTTCCAGAGATTTGTAATTATTTTTTTTTGAGAAACATGTTTACTTAACGAGGACAGAAGCGTCTATATCTTTTCGAAATGATTCTTTGGAGCAAAAATAATTTTTTCCCAGAATATTCTACGGAAGAGCAGGTTATTTATCATGACGGGTTGAGTTGCTTTGCATATCTGGGTTAATTTGCAATTGACGTTAATTAGTCTTAGTACACT